AAATTGGGAAAACAAAATCACTGAAGTGGGTTTTCCTTGTGTTCTGATTTGACTATGTAATTAGGCTGAGATAAATGGATACATATAAATCTTCCACTTTTGTTCATTTTCTTAAATTCAGTCTAAAAGAGCCTTATGTGAAAAGCTGACATTCTTAACACTAGCTTTCCTACATAGGTCACACTTTTAGATGCCACACTAGACGGTCCATTCTATGAAGATCATTACAACATGAGTACATGAATAGTCACGCTCTTCACATCTTGCTACAGAATTATTGGTGGAGGAGAAGGGGAGCCAACACGATGGGGAATTCGTGTACAACGGCCTCACTGCATGGGGCTTCTTTCCTTCCGTTTCCTTTTGAGCTTTTAGAGTTCAGTGGGAGCCAAAGGACAAGCACCGAGGGATTATGTAGCCTTTTTAGGGAGACCCCAGGACCCCATTATGATTTTAACTGTTTTCACTAATGTCTACCATATAGAATGCTTTCACCTTTCCCCTTTGACTCTGGGAATCCCATGGTCTTCACTAAACCTTCTTTGGGTTTTCTAATGCCATTTCTCTGAACCACTTCAGCACCAAGAGCTTGGACAGCAACATTTAGCAGTGGCTTACTTTCTAGTTTGTGTTTTGTTTCACGTGAATTTCTGTTTCTATAACCACACAATACACTTCTTGAGTTAGGACTACATTCTATCTTTTTACTTCCTAATGATGAAAGGCTGAGTGGTATATGCAGGTATAGCTAGATTCATAAATGTAGTTTGGGAACTACTAATAAGAATGAATTTGAGAACCAAGAGATGTGCGATGCTTTCTGATTATACAAAGTCATGAACAGGTGGGGAGACTCATATTTCTAGTTGGCAAGGAGCACCTGCTCTGTTTATTATTATTTCCTCCAGAAACTTTCCAGACCTCCTATCTTCCCTCATTCTTTTTTATACATTACACTTAAATTGGAGGCATAATCTTGTTCACAAATGTGCCAAGCAGGAACATAGCAATGAACGCATGTTGCTGCTGTAAATTTGATGAATGGCTTGTGGAGGAAGAGCATTAGGTGGCAATCTCAGTCCAGTGATTAGCTCTGCTGGAATCTATGCAGAGCAACACAGGTTTCATTCTGCTCTAGACTTTCTGTGGGCACTATTTGGTGTCCAAGGGTGATACTGGGCCTTGGATGGAAAGAGGGGGCGCAAAGAAAGCTTCTTTGCTTCTTTCTAGAATTCCTCATTGCTTTTTCTCTACCAAACCACCCTCGGTCTAGCTCCTTACAATTCCAGTTATGTTTGACAAGGAAGAAACGCCACCTTGATTTGCACTTTCTCTCCAACCTTTGCCTACCTCAGACTTCCTGAACACAAATGTCTTTGTGTTCTTACCTGAAATATAGGTTTCCTGCCAAAGAGGAAGGGTTTGGATTCAATTTGCCCAGGTAAACTATATAACGGGTACATGCCTGAAACTTAAACGTTTTCAACTTTTCCAGGGTCAGGACAGGTTTCCAGAGCTTCAGCAGAGAATCTTTCAGAAACTACAACTGTACTTTCATAAGTGACTTAAATCCAAGGTCTGTTTTAGCTATTGTATGTGATCTAACTGAAAAACAGAAGAAAATATTTTGCATAATCTATCATTTGAGTAACAGCTATGAAGCATGTGTCTTTGCTTTTTTTTTTTTTTTTTTGTCTTTTTTGTTTTTATCGGTACCAGGGATCGAGCTCACGACTGCCTGCTTGCAAGGCAGGCGCTTATGCTGCTGAGCTAAATCTCCAGCCCCAAAGTATGTGTCTATGTGTATATCCCCCTTAATTGTTTCATTTATGTTTTATTAAGAGCTACATTGGCCCAGAGGCCACAAGCCACTTTTTCAGCTCCTAACACAGAATGTCACAGCTCCCAACACAGGGCCAGTGTTTTGTGGACTTTGTTGCTCACTGTGGTCCATGAACTAGTGATAATGCTACCACCTGAAAGCCACTTAGCATTGTGGGATCTCAGGTGCCCCCAGACCTACCCATCCAGCTCCACAATGCTGGCAGTTTATGTGCACATGAAGAGTTGAGGTGTCTTGATGGAGACTCTGAGCAGTAGCTCATGAAATTCGCACTGAGTGTAAAAGAAAAAATATCTTCTTATGCAGTGATGAGATTCTTTGCACCGACTAAGAAAATCTGGTTGAATCTATGTATCACCAGAATGTTAATTTCAAAGGGAAACACAGGAAAGTAGACAAAAGTAAGACAAAGTTAATAAGTCCATGTGACTTGGAAATTTTCTTTTAAAACATTGTGTTTTGCTGGGATAGCTTGAGCCAAATCTTAGTAATAAATGTATCTCATGGGAGCATTTCTCCTCAGAAAAGTCCGGTTTTGTATATAGAGATTTTTGCTACCTGGGTCAGATACCCATCCGCTTCAGGACTATCTTTCACCCCCACTGCTGAGCACTCAAAATGCTCTTGAAGTATGAGAATGGGGAGTGTGAGAGAGACTCAGTAAAAACACTTACACACATGAAGGCTATATACCTGGCATGAAAGTTCCATTTTCTTTGACTTGAGTTATCCTCCACCAACATGACTGTGAGACTCAGGATCTGGCTTCTCTTTGAAGCTTAGAGGTCATGAGTCAGAAACCAAGCATTACCTAGGTAAAGTGCACAGGATGTGATTTCAGAGGAAACCCACATCTGTGACTTAAACTTGAACCCACCGCCACAACATGAACTTTGTTGCTCACCTAAGAAAGAAATGGGTCCAAATGGGTCCAAATACTTGATTGATCTTCTGTTAAAGAGTTGATGTAGGAGTTTAAGGAGTTAATAGTATAAGAGGCATTTTGAAATCATAAAATAGCATACCCAAACAAAGATATTCACATTATTACTATAAATAATTAGGTAAGAACTCTAGGAATTTATGTTTATATATTTACAACTGCTCTCTGATAGAGATCAAAGTAACTACGCTTCTATATCCCAGCTTATCTGGGCTATACTTCTTGCATCCATAAATACCAGAGTAAATCTGGGTTCAAATCCTGGCTCTACCATTTATTAAATTTATTATGTTGGGAAATGTTGAGAATTCAATCTCTTTGTTGTAAAATAGATGATAATAAGATTATGATAATTAAGGAAATAATGTGTGTAAAGTGACAACATGTTCTGGAAAAACAATCATGCAATGAATGGCAGATGGTATTTTTATTATTATTTATTTTTTTGAGACAGGGTCTCGCTATGTGGTTCAAGTTGGCCTTAACTTGCTATGTAGCCCAGGCTGGCCTGGAATTTGTGGCAATGCTCCTGCATCAGCCTCCCAAGTGGTGGGGTTGCAGGCATGGGCCACTACACCTGTACCTGGGGTTGATCTTATTGTTAAATAGTACAACAATTTATTAAGAGCAGGTCCTGTGTCTCTTCATCTTTATTTCCCTTAATATCTAGCAGTGACTGGCACATAAGTGTCATCAAAACTTTTCCTCATATTAATAATACTAATTGTGTGACTGCAGAGAAATTTGTTGAATGACTGATTGATGCATGGTAATCCATGCATCCTTTAGTTTGTTTGGTTTCTCTGGTTGCTCAAGTAGCTCAGAGCAGGCACAGCAATGTAAGTACCAGTCAGAAGCAGTGGGCCCAGCTTACGGTAGCTCATCAGTTCCACAAGCCTCATCCTCACAGATGTGCGGGGAAGGATGGGAATGGCATCATTTCCTTGCAAACTCTCATAAATCACTTGATGGATTAGCTGGTGCCATTCATCCATCTGCACTTGTCCCCAGTGTGGGACTGAAGTCTATAAATCTCCTTTTAAAAGCCTCAACCAGTGAACTCTGATTTGGCTTTTTACTTCCTTGAAGTTAGTGTGGAACTTAATTTCAATGCAGGATGCTTTTTGTTGCTGTTGTTACAAAGGCCAGTGCTATAGCAAACTTACACCATCCTTTCTCCCAAAGCAAATGCCTAGTTTATTAAATAAAAAGTCTCATCTCAACTGTCTTACTTGATTGGACTAAGCAGTTAAGGTATCTGTAAAGGGAAGCAGGGGAGAAGATTTAAGGGAAGGTGTCAGGGTGTGTTTAAACACTTCAGCCTCCTTAGCTTGGATCTCAAAAGTGTTACCACCAATGTGATCACAGGGCTCAAATTTATACCCTTGGATACTGCAGTCGAAACAAAGAAGCCAGTTAAGATACAGGTTTTCACATTTTAAAGCAAATCTCCTTTGGCATATGTTCCACACTGACTGAAGTTCCTCTGTTGGTGATTCAATCAGATTTGAAATTACTCGCATTTTTAAAAGGCAAATTACTTTGAAGAAGTTGGTTTATGAGTTCCACAGACTTTTGGTGTCATCGAGTTCTTCAAATGTTTTTATCCTGACCCATATGAAGAATTTGTAACAGGACTGAAAAAACATGGAGAGCCAGATTCAGGAGAGGTGAAGCGATGAGTGTGTCAACTACTGCATTGTGACTGATCACCGCACAGCGTGTATGTGTACATCAAAATAGTACCTTAAACACACACACTGTTTATGTCAGTAAGGCTGGAAGAGGGTGATAATGATAGTAAAAAATGAAACGGTTTTCTTATAGGAAAAGGTGATGAGAGTGTTAGGGAAGGTTCAGGAAAGATCAGAGATAGAGCTGAGAAAGCGCTCACTGTGCCTGCCCTCACATTCCACCGTGCCAGGGGCTTTGTAGGTATACAAGAAGAGCACAGGGCAGATCAGTAGTCAGCACGGTTGGCTGAGTCACTGCTCCGGAATGGAGGGAATTGCCTTATTATTCACAGCTTACATTTGTATGCATTTTTGACTTTGTAAAAGCACCTCACACCCAACTGCAAATGATGTTTATAAAATATTTGGTATCAACAATTGCTAACTCTGTGCCTAAATTTTCTCCAAATCTCCTACCCAAGAGGAAAGCTAATATTCACTTCGTTTTTTACTCTTTTACTTTCCCTCTCTGCCTGTTTAGCTTCCGGAGTGGTCAGAACTATAAAAACACATCCCTGTCCATTTGACTTCTGCAGAGCCCAGCCAGGGCGAATCTGAGCACCGCAGGAAGGTTTATGCAGTGTAAGATTCACGTACTTTATTTTTTGGGGGGTACGCAGGGGGGCCATATTCCATTTGAGTCTTTTACTGTTTAAAGCATCTTACCAAGTCATAAACAGCCCAGATGGATGTGGTTATGACGGGCATGGGCTAAATGAGGAAATAAAAATAAATAGTTTGTGCATCGATTGGAGCTTACCTTTAGATTGCACCTTTTTATTTTAATATCACTCCATTAAAAAATAGCCAGAGTCCCCAGAGCAGACCCATGAGGATATTAATAACTTCAGTATTATGCTGCCTTAATTGTAACTTCTCTGGGCAGACACAAGCCCTGAGTTACTGGCAGGGAGGGGAAAAGGACCAGTTCATTTTCTGGCGTCTCCATGAGTGCGGAGAGTGTAACCCATTGGAAGCTCACCTTGTCAAGCAGGGTCAAAAGGGCAAGAGTGCCGAAGCAGAAATTATAAAAGAAAGAGAAGACGGCCTCGCTTGGCTGGTGATTAGAGAAATGGAAGATTGTGTTTGATGGCAAACTGGAAAAGCCTGGAACAGCCTCCATCAGATCTTGCTACCCGGGAGCCTTAGCTGCAGAATAAGAAGCCAGGAACCAGGACCATGTTGGAGAATCAAATGGCCGGGGTGGGGGTGGCGCTCTTATACATGGAGGATGTAAATGAGGGGAAATCTGTCAAGGCAGGGGCCATCTAGGACCCGTATTTTTATCTCTATAAGCTTGCTAGCTCACAAAAGAGCTCTTGCTTGTGTCCTTTCTATTTCTCTTTCAAGGCAAGTAAACTCCTTAAAGTGTAAGGGACTGAACTGTGGAGAGTTATAATAAGTTTAGGGTTGGGAGCATCTTTAAAATCATAGATCTCAGGAACTTTGTCCCTGCAGGCTAACCCCCTTATCCCAATATATGAAAGAAATTGATACAGAAACAAAACCAATCAAGTACGCAAAGAGTAAACAAAACAAAAACCCATGCACATCAATACAAAGTTAATACATTTTTCCCTTTCTGAGCTGAGCACCTCTTAAATGTCGCAGAGTTTATTTTAAGCATCAACCTAGAAACAGTTGAAAATAAAGATACTTAATGGAAACAGTAAAACCACATTAACACAAAAAGTGACAAGAAAATAGCTTTTTGTGTTCTTTGCTGAAGCAATAAATATAGCAAAATATTTGTTTTCAGAAATTTATGGAGAACAGGAAATGAGAAAAGAACTCTCCCTTTCTAGACACTAACTCATACTTGGCTTGGGTCAATAACTTATTTGGCCTAGCACTTGCATTTTCCAATTGCTAAGCTGATTTGCAAATTAGCTGCCAGTTCAGGTTGCAAACCATGGACTAAAGCTCCTTTCAGCAGACGCTTCCCCAAGAAAGGGCTTGGCAAACCCGAACTTGAAAGCAGAGAAACACCAAAAAGACATTTACTTCCTGCTACTGCTGGCCCAGTAGAAAATGATGCTAGGTTTTGGTTTCTGTAGGTTCCAAATGTTAAGGCCAAGAAGTCTTCTCTTCTAATTATCAATGACACCAAAAGAAAATTTAATCACCTTAGTAGTTCCCTGTCTAAGGGGGACTGTCTAAAGACCCTCTTTCACTCTTGCAGAATAACTCTGTAAGCCGGTAGATGCAAATCAAAAGGAAGCCTTGTGTAGTAGAAAGAATCAGACTATCTTGGGTTCAAATTCTAGCTTTTCCGCCTAAGTACCCTCTCACATGCATTAGGTGCTTGCCCTTTTGAATGTCAGCATCCTCCCTTGTAAAGTGGCAGTCCACTGATGATCTTCAGAGATGTCTCATGTGTGTTAGCAGTTTACTCTTTTTTTGTTACTATTAGTAGTCTATTGTATGCATTTGACACAATTTGTTTACTCATTTCTCTGCTAATTTTTTTTCCAGTTTTGGGCTATTATAAATATATCTCTTATGGACATTCTTGAAGAAAACTTTGTGTGGGCATATATTTTTATTTGTTAAATATGAGAAACAAAAATTATTTTCAAAAAAGGTTCTCCTATTTTACATGCTTACTAGAAATGTAAGCGTCCCAGTTCCTTGATAGCCTCATGAGTACTTCATATTACCGGGTTTTAACTGAGGTCATTCCTGTGGGTATAATGGTGCTTAAGGGCGCTTTTTCAGTTGCATTTCCCCAGTGACTAGAGAGGGCACCTTTTCACATCCCTACTGCCACTTTACGTCTTCTAGGAAGTGTCTCTTCCCCTCTTTTGCCTCATTTGACAGATATCTTTGCCTATCTCAAGGGCAATTTTTGATTTTTTTCTAAACATTTAAACTTTTAAATTTAAGCCTATGATTCTTTTGGAGTTAATTTTTGTGTTCATATTTTTCTCACCTATGGATACCCGGTTGATATGGCAACATTTGTTGACATGATTCTTCCTCTATTAAATTCTATAAAATGAATTCTTTCAAAATCCAAACAGTGAAGGAGTGTTCCCTAGCTCATTCTGTAACACTAGTAAAACAAAACCAAGTAAATTACAAAAAGTATATTAACATTCCTTTGAATACAGATACAAAAATCTTTTAAATATTAGTAAATAAAATTCTGTGTATGAGCAGTCTGTAATGAAAATGCAAATCAAATAATTTAATTTCATTGCTAAAAGCTTCCCATTTAATTCCCATCACACTATGAAATTCAGACTTGTCTCTCAGATCTGTAAGGTACAACCTTGACTTCTATTCACTTAACTCCTTAACTTAACAATCTTAACTTTCACTCCTGTTCACTTAACCTCATGTCCCACCAACCTCCTCTTTCTGGGTTTGCTCTAGTGACACCCTCTTCACACACTGTGCATGTTCATAAATATTCTTGGTACAAACTGGATTCAGACTATCATCTACCTAAGTGATTTTCAACTCTGGGTGTAAGTTAGAATCATCATATTCATTATATTCCCTCTTTGCAGTGTCTAACCAGAGTACACTGCCATCTCCGACCTGGCCAGAAACTTCTAGAATTCTTGTTTTATTTTAGAAGTTGGGACTCTACATTCCATTACTCAGGAAGACTGAGTCACAGAAGATTGGGTAAAAGGGACTTAAAGTCACCTATCAAGGAAGTGCTCAAGGAGCTGATTGGAACTCAAATTTTTTATCCCTGTTAGAGTTAGATGATTTGTTTTATTTTTATCTATACTGACTGGACTCAAAAAATTAAGTGTTGGAAGAACCTGCAACATATTTAGTGTGCTTGCAGTAATTCTTATTCAATAAGCCTCTTTCTTTAAAATTCCCACAGCTAAGTCAACCTTCCCCAGTGATCTGGCGATGCGGCTGGAGTGTCAGACTAGTGTTCTTACTTTTTATATGCAAATAAATCACTTGATTATATTTTTTGTCCTTATGTTATCATGAATATTTCAAAATGAATTTTATAAGGTTCACATTTATGGTTTGGGAGCTATTTCACATTTTGGCTCACTGCCGTCTAATCTGCATATACCATATCTCAGCTGATGTTGATTGGTCTCATTTACATATTCATCATGCTCCGATTTTCAAAGATATTTTGTTATAAACTGGCTTTTCTTCCCCCTCCAGCGTTATAATAGCACGGAGATGTGTTTTTAAATTGTACTCATTTCCATACATAATTTTTCTAGTTACCATAAATCACCACATTGTCACCTACTCTCCCACCCTGTTCAGTGTAATCTTCACACTTCATACCAAGCTGACATATGGCTCCGGAGTAATTAAAGACAATGTAAACAGTTTACAGTGCACTCTGCAAAGCCACTTCACATTGCAGAGAGTCTAATGATTTCCTTTTTTCCCTAGCAGGTCCCAAAGCAATGAAGAGTAAGGAGGTACCAGTTCATGCTGCTGGTGAAATCTGCAGTGCCCAGTTCATTCCTAATGGGGAAGTTCCCTGTCCCAGGCTCAACCAAAGAAACTCTTTCCCTGTTAATTTCTGATAGAATTAAAGGACAGCTGCATTATCAAAGGAGGAGGACTCGTGTTCAGGGTTGGGGTGCACTTTCAACAATTCTAACAGCAGAAAAAACCAGTCTCATTAATGGCTACGTTGTGCACACATGGAGATAATGTATTTAAGTCTAATTCCATGCAGATGAAGTATGTTCTATTCTAGAATATCTTTGCCCAGTGGTTACCCATTTATGTATGTGATAACTCCTAACAACTAGATTGAATTGTAAATTCCATGAGGACAAGAGGATATTTGTTTGTAACTCAGCATTGAATCGGCATCAGCTGAGAAGATAATGAGATTCATTATAACGCCCATTCTCGTTGACTTTTTATCTACTTTTGAAGACCTACAATGTCTCCAATGTTTTGGTTTTGTCGGTTTTGCTCTTTACTATTTTGTTCAATTGTATTATAACTAATGATATAGGCAATTCTATTAGAGATAGCGGGAGGCATTATGGTAACCTTTGATGATCACCTTGTATTATGTTTTTATATTATCTATTATGTCCACCCTTTTGACTTGACTGATTCTGTCCTGTTATGTCTCATTTGGTTTTACTCTCTTCCAAAAAAGCAGTAAGAACCGTGGGAGCAATGAAACCCAAAATGTGTAATAGTCATTGTACAAAAGAGAGGAAAAGAAAGTGCTCTAAACTATATAACTGCATGTATATTTAAGTGTATAAGATAGAAAACGATATCACAGAGTTTTATTGGATCATTGAACAGAACTGATTGCAGTATCATTGTTGGAATGTCCACTCTACAAGCTTTAATTTTGTGACTTGAACAATTATTTTTAAGATGGCAATATGTAATCCATTAACTAGTGATTTCCTACTGTTCATTTTTTTCTTCTGTAAATCTGTATAACTTGTACCCTTTCACTTTTTTTTCTTTTCTCCTTAAATTAAAAAAAAAAAGAATCTATTCAATTGAATTGAACTCATTCATACACCTTGAATCAGGTACATACATGATAAATATATGTGGATGAATAAAATAAAGAAATATAATTTTAGGGGAAATAAGATATCTATGAGTAGAATATAATAAATAATATAAATGATAATAATAATGATGTAGGCATTCATGGACTTATGAACACAGGTGAAAATCTACTATAATGTGGGCAATTACACAAATATACTATGACAAAAGGCAGAAAGTCACAAGAAGGTATATATAAAGTTAATGATACAGACATCATAATTGAGTAGGATTCTACTGTGAGAGGCAAAAAACCAAATCTCCCAATAGGCTTAAAGAAAAGAAAAGAATTTAATGGCTCATTTAACTTGGTGATCAGTGAGGAAGAATGACTTTAGAGACAGCTGTTCTTGACTATCCTTGTGATCAGGACCCAGCTTTCTCCCTCCCCCCACCTCTCTCTCTCTGTCTCTTTTTGGTACCAAGAATTGAGTGCTTTCCAGGAAGGCGCTGTGCCCCGAGCTACATCCCCAGCCTTTCCCTCTTTCTTACTTCCCTTCCCATGATGTCAGTTTCATCCCTCAGCCCCAGCCTTGGGTGACAAGATGGCCCTGGGGTTCACATCTTTCTTGGGATTTTATGAAGAAAGAAGTAGCAGACCTTTTCCTTGTAAAACCCCCTAAAATCTTAAAATTTCCTTTGACTTTCTTAGACCACACTGCCATTTCTGGAGTAGCCATGGGTAGCTAAGAGAATGTGATGCTCTGATTGACTTTGCCTGAGTCATGGGCACCATCCTTAGAACTGGAAATGCCTACCTCCACTGTGCACTAGAGTGAGACAGGAAAGATCCACAAACAAAAACTAAAGCTACTACTGGGGGATAAACAAGTTAAGTGTTGGCAATTTGAGCAAACAACTAGTACCTGCAAGAAAGTATTCTATTGTCGTGTTTCTGTGGTCTGTATGGTTAGCAAAGGAATTAAACTGACTTGAAAATGAGTAGAATTTATACTGGCAGGAGCTCTATTATTGCTGTCCTCATTACAATTATTATCACTGTAGCTAACCTTTATGGAGGCCCTAACTGTATGCCAGACACTGATGGAAGCCAGTTACATTTATCATTTGTTTTGCCCCTCCCCGTGGAAACAATTAGGTTTGGCAATCATAGCACTGTTTGGGCCTTCGACAAAATAATTTAATAGGGCTGGAGAATTTGTAGCCAAAAAGCAAATGGCACAGCCTGAAGAGTGGCTGAAAGGACAGGACAGTAGGGTGAGGGTTGGGGGTGGCGGTGAATCTAGGCCGCTCTTATGGGCAATGGAGCGAAGATAGCATGGACACAGGGTGAGCTTTGCATTGCGGGGTTTTGGTCACCCTTCTTTTAATAAAGATGGGCGATCCTGGACACATGTGTTGAACGACAGAGACTGATTGGTGTAGAGGAATATACAGAGGATGAAGCCAGTATTCATTAATATCAGTAGATTGTTTGAAAAGTGGAGAAAGAGCATAAGCATCGATGCAGGTCTTGAATGGAGAGAGAACTCGGTAACTGAGAACAAGGCAGTGAGGGCGGATGGGGGAGTTAGGGGAACGGTCTCCTCAGAGCTCAGTCCTGCTCCGGGTCTTTACTTGGGAAGCTTTAGGGCACCAAACATGATAAGAAGGAAGATTCGTTTTATTTTTGACCTCTCCTTATGTGAGTAAAGGCTGACTAGTCAAGCCATGACTACACTTGGCTGTTCCATCTGGGAATCCACCTTGAGGCAAAGCTCTCCTCTGACTGTATGGGTTCTCTGGTGATCTGGGTTCAGGCAAGTACCTTGCCTTGAGATCGCAGTGACTATTAAATCTCCTCAACATTTGGAGAATAAACTTTGAAGAACAGCATATCTTAAAATAGGCTCTTATCTAACTTGAGGATAAATATGCAAGACCAGGGAAGCACTCCTTTAAAACTCCTCTCTTAACACACACATGAGGAAACCAGAACCCTGAAAGACAAAGTTCTGTAATCAGGGTGACACAGTGACTTTATATTAAAACTAACACCAAGACTCAGGCTTGTGCTCGCCCTCCCCAAAGCAGGTGGTGTAACTGCTGCAACACATTGCCACCCCTCCAGTTGACATTCCCTTTGTTAATAGAACCCTTTCTCACTTTGCCAGACCTCACAAGGTAAGACTTTTGATGGGGGGTGGCGGTTGTAAAGGAAATAAGAAAAACTGAGCGGCTTCAATAAGAAAAATATATGAACCTAAGAATTGTTGTCACTTTACAACAGCAACAAATAACAATGACAACAAGAAATCATTTCTTTCTGAATATTTGGTCTCTCTGTGACCTTCCTGGCTTTCACATCCTGCATCCTGGCTGAGCCAGTGCAGGGCACACACCTGCTCTGTGCTAAGGTCTGGGGTGGGAGTGAAAGTCTTCAAAGGAGGGGCTGGGGATTTAGCTTAGTGGCATAAGTGCCTGCCTTGCAAGCAGGCAGTCGTGAGTTCGATCCCTGGTATTGATAAAAATGAAAAAGACCAAAAAAAAAAAAAAAAAAAAAAGAGTCTTCAAAGGAATGGCAGGGTACTTTAAGCACGAGAGATCTCACTCTCTTTTCCACTACTAGACCCCACTTCAAGAAAAATCCTATTTGGGCAAGCTCCAAATTAAATCAGTCTCATAAGAAGTTGCAGTGGTGAGAGAATTTTCTGTTTTGAAAAGAAATCAATCAGTGCTGTAAACTCTCCTGACCCTTTGAAATGTTGGTGTGCCAGTGACCCCTTGTCTGTGTGATGGGCTTGGGAGGAAGTTCAGGGAATCTCTAAATACAATTGGTAGGTTCTGTTGTCAATTAAAATTTAATCAGACATTGTGAAAAATATTTCTGAAAGCAAAAGATTGTAATCAGGAAAAAATAACCTTTAGCTTCTAAAAGCTCCACTCCCAGGGACTTGGAATGTTTCTTAAACAATGCACAGGTGAGGACCACTTGTCTTGAATTTTTACTAATTTCAACAGCAGGCTCAGCACTATTTATTTTAGGAAGCATGGAAGAGAGCAAAAGGGAGAAAATATAAAAGGTTTGCTTGGCATAACAGTGTGACTTTGAAGTACAGCCACCCCATAAACTCCACTCAGATATTAAAATCTGCAAGAGCACAAGTTCTTACATAAAATGGCAAAGAATGTATGTATCTTTCCATATATTATCATAAAAATCATCTCTAGATTGGTTGTAATGACTAAATACATTGTAAATCTATGGAAATTGTTATTCTGTATTTTTAAGGAACAATGATAAAATGTCTGTTCTATACATGTTCAGTGGACAACATTTCTTCCGAATACTTTCAACCCAGAGTTGGTTGAATCTGCTTGTGGCAATGGGGCCAGCTGTACAAGCATCCTTCTAGATGGGACCTGATTTCTCTCAACTGAGACATTCACAAGCATCAGGGTCAGGTACATACATTTTCTCCAAGTCCCCAAATCCTGAAAATGCTCCTTTAGGGATGACTCGAAGCTTGGTGAGGACAAACCTCCTGAAAAGAGAGTGGAGATAACATATCACAATCTACCATTAATAAATAGCTGGGTGCCTAACATATGACATCAGCTAAAAGCACACATGCAATAAGTGCCTGCCATGGTAGCAATGGTGGAAATCACTTTTACAATCCCTGTCTTCACCCTTGCCACAGCAAAGCAGTGAGATTGGTGGTGTTATTTCCCCCCGTTTTGCGTGAGGAAATGAGTTCAGGAAGACAGAAAAGCTGTCCCAGGGTCACACGGCAGACACGAGGCAGAGCTGGGCTGTGAGCCTTGCTGGTGGCCGCGTGGTTTCCCCTAGCCCCTTGGGAGGTTGCTTCCATTTCTCCACAGCCTGCTCAGCTGATCATGGACCCCATCCAGAGGGTAAACAAAGCTGGGAGAAGACAGCTTCCCTAAGCCCTCCCTGGCTGGAGAACCCCTCCTGTGCACATGGTGTTCCTGCCTCTGCCTCTGTTTCCACACGTGGACTGCCCAGGGTCCTGTCCTGGACCAGCGCCCTCCTATTCTCCCCGCATCTCTCTTCCTCTCCCCTAGTTTAGGTGCCACTATCATTTCTCTCTCCTTTTTGTGTATTTCATCCATCAGTTTGTTTTCCTTCTACTGATTTCTTCCCATTAAATAAAAGCATGCCTTAATTTCTCCCTTAAAAAACCTTATTTTGACCCCAGCGACTTTCAGCTTGTGCAATTTCTGTGCATAATACTTGTAGCAACTGCTTATCTCCACCACAGAAGTGCTACCAGTGGCCCTTCATCTCACTCAGGGGAAAATTCAAATTATTTACAGTGACTTTAGTATTGCCCAGAATCTTCCTGCCTACTATTCCTGTAGGCCCTCTATTCTCAACTGTTTTGAAGTTTGGAAAAAAACAATTTAATTCAATCTAATGTTTATAACAATACAATTCATGAAAACTAAATCTTAGAAGTACACAGTAGAGTACTACTCTGCCGTAAAGCAAGAAAAATTTGAGTCATTCGTAGGAAAACAGATACAGCTTGAGACCATAATGTTAAGTGAATTAAATCAGACACAGGCTGAAGTATCGCATGGTTTCTTTTATATGGAAAATAAAAGATAACTAATAGGAAATAAAGAGCTAGACCTTTTGAAAAAGGGAAAAGGATCAAAGATGGAGAAAGTGGGGAGAGAAGGGAGGGGAAGGGGGCCAAAAAAATTTAAAATGTGTTATGTACAAGTACCAATTCCCCATGAGAAAGATAGTCATTTTGGACTATGATCATATACACATAAAAAACTGAATGAAGAACAAAATTTCAAGGCAGGCTTTAAATAACTTTCTTAGATTCAGCTCCTCACATGTGGCTCCAACTTCTGACAAAAAGGCTTGAAATGCCTTCTTGGTGGTGCCTGGCACATGCCATTTGCTGTGGCATCTTAATGCCAGCTATAGGATTATCGCAAAATTC